ATAAATAGAGAAGATGTAGAAGACGCAATTCTGGAGAAGCGGAAGTAGCTGAGCTCAGCTCTCTGTTTCTAGCTGCTTCTGAGACTTTCTGGGGCTGCTTTTCCTTCTGCCTCACGACACAGTGGAGCAGAGAATCCCCGTTTTTCTTCGTATTATTTATCCAGGAAAAGGTGTACTGTCCACTTCACTTTTCCGGAAAAAGGTGCGATTTTTCTCTTCTTGTTTTTGGCTGCTTAGAGAACACGCCTGTTTTTTGTTCTGTTCATGGGTAGTGGTCATCTGGGTTTTATGTTCGTAAATGTTTCTGTTTGGTTGCCGAGAAAAAAACTGAGCAGAGGAAAAATAACGAAACTCTGAGACGACCCTTTTCTTTCTAGTTTCTAAAACAAAGAAAAGTTTCAACTTTTCTGCATTATCTTTTTTCTCGGCAACCGAACAGAGCACAAAAGGCAAGGGTTTGAGTTTGAAAGATTCAAACTTTATCTCCTGTAAAAGATGCGAAATTGACGTTTTTAGTGTATCAATGTAGTATTTCCTCATCCCATCCATGGCCTCGGAACTCGTTACTTAATTTCCGTATTAGCTTAACCCAATGGATTTTCTCATACAATGTAGTATTCAAATATAATGACAGGGCCGCTGTTTTTTCTCCTGGAAAATTTCCTCATCCAATTGATTTACAATTTTTTTCTCATATTACCATTTTTGAGCAATATTTCCATATATTCTTCTGCCAATCCCTCACCTTCTTCTTCCTTCTATAATTTTGTCTCTTCATGTTTGATTTATAAAATCTGTTGTTCTCCACTCACAATTCATTCAATATTTCCAGGGAATTCTAACAAACCTCCAAAAGCAAGCCAATTTTTTATCGGGTATGCGCTATGAACTTCAATCTCTCTCTCTCTCTCTCTCTCTCTCTCTCTCTCTCTTCTGTTAATGGCTTTGAATCAATTGTTTGTCCTAATTTGAATATTGAACCCCTGGATATTCATGGGTTTTTATTGAAGGGGGAATTTTGCAAGAGAGAATGAAGAACTCGGTTTCGGATCATTGTTTTTACATTGAGAGTGAGGAGGAAGATGAGGACAAGGCTTTAGACAATGAAGGTGTAGATGAAGATGATGGACAAGAATCTGATTTTTCCGATGGTGACTACGGTGCCCGCCAGCCGCCACAACCCAGTTCCTACAACACACAATGGCCTCAAAGTTACAGGTTCACACCCTCTATGTGTTTGTGTTTCTGCTTCTGAATTTTGCCATGGTTCTCCAGATTTTCATGAGTTTAATGGGTTTTGGATTTCTTATTTTATTAAGGTTCCATTGGTTTCCATGAAGAAACAATAATTGAAAAAAGCACAATTCTTTCATGTGGTAAAGGAGATTTAAGGGACATCTGGGTTGGGGGCCCTAAAGCAGATCTTCCATGGGTAAAGAGTACTGTTACTATGATGCAATAGTTGCAAATTGATCAGCTTGATCAATATTTCGTGGGCTAAAGTTGCATAAATGTTGAACAGCTTGGAATTTAGAGGCTCAAGTCATCCCCAACTCCTCAATTTGGATGCTGCTAGATGACCCCTGGCCTACATATCATTTTGCCATAATTGAATTCCTTTTAGTGATTATAAAGCAAACTGTCTACCATATGGGCCATATTGCAAGTGGAATTTTTAGAAAACTTGATTTGTTACTTTTATGGTGCATTGCTAGTTATCTAGAGTAATATGTTTATGGCTTCTAGTTAATGTTCCAGGCAGTCCATCAACCTGTATAGTAGTGTACCATCTCCTGGTATTGGGTTTTTGAATGCCTCTTCACTTTCAAGATATGGTAGTTCGTTTCTTTCCTCATCGCTATCGAGGAGACACACACCAGAATCATTGTCTTCGCTGACAAAACCTCTAACAGCTGATCAAGTACAGCAGCAAAGGACTAGTTCGTATCTGTCTCCTTCTGCACCGTCAAGGAGGTCTTCTACAATGAGGGATGGGAAATCGTCAGTGATCTGTCACGAAGCTCCAATTTCTCGCCACAGCTCACTTGGACAAGCTGTGCTAAATGGTTAGTTGTATAATGACTCTGAACAATTCCCATATTCATCTTTCATGTAGATAATTGGGTTGGGAACATGTTTTACTTCCCGTTTCTTTAACACAAACTTTTATACTTGGAAAAACAATAACCGCTAGACCAAATCTGAACTGTTAGATCAATCATTTAGATTGCTGCCTTAATTTTACATTGAACATTACTGTGATTAAGCTAGTGACATTTTTAGTTCTTTTGAAGAAAACGAAAGAGGAAAAGACTAGCATTAAGCAGGTATGTTCGAAAGGTGCCTCCTGCCATGTTGGGATTCCCACAACACCAAACCTAATCTTATGTTGGTCCCTTGGTCAAAGATGGACCACATAAACCAATCACGTAGGGAACAATATGCTGGCCACTCCTTTCTAATAATTCAAATTTGTTGTTTCTTACTTTGTCACCATCACCTCCTTCACATGGCTTCAAGTGGTAGAGCCGAAGTTAATTTTCTGCAGTCTAGCTTTTTAATATTCATTTCATCCCTACTTTCGGCTAACATGGCTTTCTTGTCTATGTTGTCTTTATTGATAAACCAGAAAAATTGCTTTCACCTTTGATTTAAAAATATCCATATGTTCTTTGTTGTCAATTTGTCATTGTCCACAGTTCATCAATGTCGTGACTTATGAATGTTCAAACAAGAAAGATATTAAATTGATATCTCAAATAACTGGTGGCGTGCATCTCCTGCAATATTTTCATGTGTCCATATTCATATATAAGCTTGTAGTTTCTTTTTTTTTTTTTTCCCCTTTTCAGTAGATAAAGTTGTGCAATGTACAAGGAATAACCTTTTCTTGAAATGTTTGCTATGTCTCTTTACAGGGATGAATGTACTATGTGGGGTTGGAATACTCACCACCCCTTATGCAGCCAAGGAAGGAGGATGGCTTGGGCTTCTCATCTTGCTTGCTTTTGCGGTGTTTTCCTTTTACACTGGAATGCTGTTGCGCTACTGTCTGGACAGTGAACCTGGCCTTGAGACCTACCCAGACATTGGCCAGGCTGCATTTGGCACTGCTGGCAGAATTGCCATATCAGTAAGTCTAGATTCCACTCTAAACATCAGTTATTGAAAAAATAATAATAATAAAAGCACCATTTTACAATATAAAAATGGTGACTGATTCTGTCATTTTTGTGGTTCATTTCTTGTGGTGCAGATAATTTTATATGTGGAGTTATATGTAAGTACTGCTGGCTCTGTTGTTTTGGTACATTTTTTGATTTAAAACCCTTTTCTCCCTTTTTTCTGCATGTATCCTTCTGGTGCATTTGGTGACATGAGAAATGATAACTCTTCAAGTTAAATTTGATTAGGGACCAGTTTAGGATTCCTGAGATCCCTAGTCTTGTATTTCTCTTGCATGGGTATTGGTCCACTCAATATAGGGATGGTAAGAATCAGAAACCAAATAATTTTGATTGTCATGCCATATCACAAAATCTTAAGGAGTTTGCTTTCCTCAAGGCCCTGATGTAACTGCTGCTAATGAGAAAAAAATCAATACAAGTCAGGAAAATCACCAGCATTGTACAAACAAAATAGTGCCATTTCACAAAATTTTTGAGCATATTGAGGTTACTCTATAACCCTTCTGTGCAGGCTTCTTGTGTTGAGTATATAATTCTGGAGAGTGATAACTTATCATCATTATTTCCCAATGCACATATTAGTGTGGGTGGATTTGAATTAGGTTCACACCATTTATTTGCATTGATGACCACCCTTGCTGTTCTCCCAACTGTTTGGCTCCAAGACCTTCGTGTTCTTAGTTATATTTCTGGTAAGAATCATGGTCTCAAATACTTGTAACGTGCTAAATCACAAAGATGGAGGATGTCTTAGACTGTTCTTTCACCATTTCCAGCTGGTGGAGTCATTGCATCTTTGTTGGTGGTGTTTTGCTTGTTTTGGGCTGGTTTGGTAGATCATGTTGGTTCTCACAGCAGTGGGACACCACTGAACCTGGCTACTCTTCCTGTGGCTATTGGTCTTTATGGATTCTGTTATTCAGGACATGCTATTTTCCCCAACATTTATACTTCAATGGCAAATCCCAATCAATTTCCTGCAGTCCTCATAACATGGTAGGACTTACAAACATTTTCAAGTATGTCAACCAAACAATTGTTACAATGAGTTCAAATTAGTTTTTAATTTCTTTGCAGTTTTGGACTCTGTACTTTGATGTATGCTGGAGTAGCTTTCATGGGTTACACTATGTTTGGAGAACACGTAGAGTCACAGTACACTCTTAACATGCCAAAAGATCTGGTTGTCTCAAAGATTGCAGTTTGGACAACGGTATGTACCCATTTGTTCCATAGCATTTTATGAACCATTCTGCTTAGTGATCTGATTAAAATTCCGACTTTGGCTATAACTCTCTGTATTTTTTGTTCTTTTGCAGGTAGTTAACCCTTTTACCAAATATCCTTTTTCTTAGAAAAGTTTAATTTTTTGGTTTCTAAGTCATAGTTCGTATTCAGTTAAGCGAAATCTGGTTATTTATTCAACAAAACAGAATGTTCTGCCTTAATCAGAATCACATATGCATTAACCTTGACTCCCGTGGCATTGTGTCTGGAGGAGTTAATGCCATCGTACCATAAAAAATCTCACATATATGCAATCTTAATTAGAACAGCGCTCGTGATCTCAACCTTGGTCATTGGCCTTGCCATCCCCTTCTTCGGTAAGTGTCCTCTCTCATGACTAGTTCAACAGAGGGAAACCCTTTTTCCAGTATGGCAGTCATAATAAATCTCTCTCTGCCTGCAGGTCTCGTGTTGTCATTGATTGGATCTTTACTCACAATGCTTGTGGTAAGTCTTCTTCTTCCACCCAAGATCATGAATCAGTTCTTCTTGCATTCTCATTAACACTGAACTTGTTGAAAGAAACATAACCACAGAAGGAAGATTAATTTGTGCTTCTGATTCTTGTTCCTATATATGGCAGACCTTGGTACTTCCCTGTCTTTGTTTCTTGAGCATCGTGGGGAGGAAGGTAACCCGTCTTCAGGTATTAGCCTACTCATTTCCTACATCAATACCTCGAACTGAACCAAAGATGACACTAAATTTTGCTTGCTTCCATGCAAAGATTCTATTCTTTCCTTGTTTCTTTTGGTAGGTAGCACTTTGTGTTGCAGTTCTTGTAGTGGGAGCGGTTTCATCAGCTATCGGATCCTACTCGGCTATCTCCAAGATCGTTGAAAGTTTGAGAGGGTTGCCTTGATTATGCAGACTTAAGCATGAACAAGCAATCTCTCTTCCCTTTTTTTTGTCCCTAGATATTAAAAGTTGATCTTCAAACTTGTGATTAAAAATATGAGTAATTCTCTTGTTGAAGTATGTGATTAGTGATAGTGACTTTTCTTTTAAATTTTTAATTTTGAGTTAATTTTAAAATTTTTTATGCACAATAATCATATATCAATGTTATGATGATTGATGAATGAACTTTATTTTTCAAGTTCATCAAAGAAAAAAAAAAACTTATCTCTCATGTACTTATTTCTTAACTCTAAATCTTTAACTTCATTATTTTTTCATCTTATAGTGACAAAAGTTCTAAAATTAAAAGTTGATTAAGAAAATTAGAAGATATTCCTTGCATGGTAAAATGGCAAAAGTTTGACCTTGTTAACATGTTTTGCCAAAGAAAAACAAAATCTTTAATTGCTAATTGTCTTATTAATAAATTAGTATTTTTAATTTTTTTTTAAAATAATTTTTTAAAGTAAGTAATTATTTTATTCATTTAATAAAATTATATAGAGATTTTAATTTTTTATTATAATTTCAAATCTCAAATTAAAGTTTTAAAATTATTTAAATATTAAATCAGTACAATTGAGTTTTTAATAAAATTGTAATTATTATAAAATGTAAGGGATTTATATTTTTCAAATAAAAAAATATACTCTTTTAAAATTACATATTTGATGTATT